TCATTTACCTAGATTTTTGAAATGATCACTCTCATACCTTAACCTTACTGATAAAGGGCCAGGGGTTTGGCTCAAGTGGTGGTAAGAGTGCTTAGTTAGCTAGGCACCGGTGGCTCATGCCTGTAATCCTAGCTACTCAGGAGGCTGAGATCTGAGAATCACAGTTCAAAGCCAGCCCAGGGAGAAAAGTCCATGAGCCTCACATCTCCAATAAACCACTAGAAAACCGGAAGTGGCACTGTGGCACAAGAAGTACAGCACTAGCCTTGAGCTGAAGAGCACAGGGACAGCGCCCAGACCCAGAGTTCAAGCCCCACAACCGACAAAAAAAAAAAAAGAGTGCTTGCTTGTCTAATGAGGCCCAGAGTTCAAATTATATGGCCAAAAAAGAAAAAAGACTACAGATGAAAATGCTTCACAAATGAAAACTGGTACAAAGGTTATTAATCATAAATTTTTTTTTTTTTTTGGTCCGGCCATGGGCCCTGAACTCTGGGCCTGGGCCCTGTCCCTCAGCTCTTCAGCTAAAGGCTAGCGCTCTACCACTTGAGCCACAGCGCCACTTCCGGCTTTTTTCTTTTTGCTTATGTGGTGCTGAGGAATCGGACCCAGGGCCTCAGGCATGCAAGGCAAGCGCTCTACCACTGAGCCACCTTCCCAGTCCTTAATTATAAATTTCTAAACAAAGTATAATCTTTCTTTGAACTAAAGGATCAAAACTAACTACTCAGGAGGCTGAAATATGAGGATCTCGGTTCAAAGCCAGCCTGGGCAGGAAAGTCTATGAGACTCTCCAATATATTACCAGAAAACTGGAAGTGGTGCACTAGCCATGAGTTGAAGAGCTGAGGGACAGCGCCCAGGCCCAGAGTTCAAGCCCCAAGACCAACCAAAACAACAACAACAACAACAACAACAACAACAACAAACCAAAAACAAATCTAGACAATAGTTTAGAAAAGTGGTTTTGAACATAGGACTATCCATGTATATCTGTTGATTTCACTGGAGAATGGAGAATATTAAACAAGGAAATCGGTATTAATAAGAATTTTTGCCAAACTAACATCCTATTAAATGTATAGACTGGCCACTAAAAATATTTAGAAGAGGAAAGGAAAGCATCATTAGTATGCCACTTCTGAGCCAACTAAAGAAGGCTTATCAAGGACACCTTTAATTATACTTTATAAATATATATTTACATCATTTTCTTACCAACAAAAATTCAGAACTTACTAGTGCCTGGATCGAGCTCTGTCAATTCATCCTGACAGAAACCTAAAGAAAAAACAGGAAGGGGAAAAGATTATAACTTGTGAGATACTCCAAGCTAACTAAAAGAAAAAAAAAGTATCATCATATGGTGTGGAAAGCTTCAGACACAGAAGTCAGTTTGACTTGTGATTGAGTTTTAATCCTCACCATAATATTTAACTACTATTTCTGTCCGAGTTTCTATGTCACCACCTTAAAACGTAAAGGGAAATAATAGTACTTACCACAGTTGCAAGGATTAAGAGATACCAATTTAAAATCTTGAGTAGGAGCTGGTGGCTCATGCTAGGATTACAATCCTAGAGACTCAGGCTGAGATCTGAAGATCAGCCATGGGTAGATGAAAAGTCCAGACTCTCTTATCTCTAACCAGCAAAAAACCAGAAGATGTGTGGTTCAAGAGGTAAAGCACCAGGCTTGAGCTGAAAAAGCCAACTGAAAGGGTAAAGTCCTGAGTTCAAGCCTCAGTACTGACACACAAACAAAAAAATTATCTTTGGCAAAATCTGAGCACATAGTAGGAGCTAAATAAACAACACAGTAATTACGAATAAGGATACCCAAGTCAGTTGGAATTAAAATACATAGGCAAATTATAAGTCATTTAATACCTGTCATGTTCTACTTAATGCTATGAATTACCCAAAAGAAAACAAAAATAAACTGCAGGAGGCTAAAATCTAAGGATCACAGGAAAGTCCATGAGACCACCAAAAACCAGAAATAGAGCTGTGGCTCAAGTGGCAGAGTACAAGCCTTGAGCAGAAAAGCTTAGGGACAATGTCCAGGCCCTGAATTCAAGTCCCAGGATCACACACACACACACACACACACACACAAAGACACACACAGACACACACACACACAACTTCTTAGCTGAGTTTTGGTTATATCATTCAAACCTGCTATCTCCTTTCTTGCCTTCCTATGTTCTCAATCTTGACTTCCTCCTCCCTCTTCCTCCTGATTTAAAAATTATTTACCCTTCAAGATCCAGATGAAATATCAACCACCACAATGAAATATGAAAAGCAGAAAAGGCCTCTCCCAACCTTTATCAAATGATAAATGTTTAAGTACCTACTCCACTAACTAGGTAGTTAAGCTTTTCAAGTGTAGGGACTATGTCATATCCATATACAGAACTGCCTTTATGCTGAAAATATTACAGAAGGTGTTCAAATGTTAAGATGAACTAAACATACAACTCTTCCTTTAAGATCATAGTCTACTAAATCAAAGTCACAGACTAAGTCTATATTAATCAATGTGTAGAAGATTTGAACAAGGAGATTGAATCTGAAACACCAGAGTTCTGTGAAGCTGCTTAAAACAGCTGAGATGCCTCATCTCAGGACACCTACATACAACTACATACAAGTTGTGGCTAGGAATATGGCTCAGTGGTAGAGTGCTTGCCTAGCATGCATGAAGACCTGGGTTCAATTCCTCAGTACCACATAAATGGAAGATGCCAGAAGTGGTGCTGTGGCTCAAGTGGTAGAGTGCTAGCCTTGAGCAAAAAGCAGCTCAGGGATAGTGCCCAGGCCCTGAGTTCAAGCCCCCAAGACAGACAGACAGACAGAGAAGGAGAGAGAGAGGGAGGGAGGGAGCGGGGGGGGGGGGGGGGGGAGACAGACAGACTACATATAAGCAATGAGAATTACAATAGCCACGGGAAAATGTCAGGTGTCTTAGTCCATTCAGACTCCTATAGAAAAATACTTGGGTAGCTTACAATCAGCAGCAACTTCTCACAATTCTAGAGGGTGGAAGTCCAGGATAAAGACATTGCCAGATTCAGTGTGCATTAGGGAATGGCCTTCCCAATGAGCATCTGCCTTCTAAGTCACATGTAACACTTTGCTATCTGTCCTCACATTGTAGGCAAAAAAACCTTTTTTCAAAAAAGAAGGACTAACTAGAGGCACAGCTCAAGTGATAAGACTACTTGCGTAACAATCAAGGCCCTGAGCTCAATTTCCAATACCACAAAAGAGAAAGAAAAAAATTAAAGGAAAAGCAGAATTCTTGGAATCAGGGTATGGGAAGGAATAGGGGTATTTGAGAAAAATACTCAGAAGAAGCAGAGGAAAGAACAAACGAGCAGAAGCAGAATGTTGTCTAGCAATTTGATCTAACGAGAAACAGCAGGACTGTACCATGAAGACCTTTACCACACAGGAGAAGTTTTTGGCTACTAGGAAGTTTGCCAATACTAGCTTCACTCTACTTCTAACTGTATGCTCTAAAATTTCAACTGGGAAACAAAAATCATGCCGTATCAAAACCAAAATACACATGGCAAACCACCCCATAGCCACTTAAATTCTAGGAACTCTACAATTTAGTTTAAAGCCATTTTTCAGAGTTCTTCCCGACCTTTATCTGACTTCTAGGTTCCTTGTGGTACAATGAATGGCTTGGATAGAGGCTGAGCAGAAATGGAATTTTTTTTTTTCTGTAATAAATATTACTTAGCTAGACTACAGTGAAACCACATCTGCCTCTTGCATTTTTATCCAGCAAATAAGGTGCCACTTGGACCATTAGCTTTTGTTTTGCAGAGGCAACCTAATAAATTGCACTTCAGGGATAATAGAAAATGCTTTTGAATACAGAGACATAGCACTGTTAGTCTACATAGCAAAAGCTGGCAGGCAGAGCCTCAAGTAATAATTCCCCGTCTGCACATTTACAAATATCAAGGTCATATTTTTTAAACTGCAACAAAAACAACTCCCCCTTCCTAATGTCATTTTTCTTAAAGTGAAATCTGAGAAGAAAAAAAGCACATGGGGGGGGGGGGGGGACCACTAAGGATTCTTAATTATATAACCTATTATGCTCACATATTTGTTCAACATAAATGCAGCTTACAAGAAGTGTCGACATTTCTATGGAAACATTAATAACTTCCATCTGATCAACCTACATCACCTTTCATATCATTTTTCAGGCTTCTACCTTTGTAATTATAGCCTTGAAAGCAGACTGAAGGCAGAAAAGCCAGTTTAAGATCATGACATTTCAGTTTTAAAATATTGAAAATACACACATATACATAAAAACAGTCTACCGCTCCAAGGCTATGTAGTAGTTACAGAATCTGAAGGTGAAAACAGTTTAGGAAGGCAATTCAGTCTAATGAGTAAGAGGTCATTAGTGTTTCTATGGAAAATAGTACATGCAATTTTTTCCGATGAGCTTCTGACATTTTTTTCATTTACAATTTCTGGTTCTCTGCAGTAACAAAAGGGATTAATGGTAGTTCTTCAGTTTGGATGTTAAGGAAATTCAAAATGCATACATATAAAAAATATATAATTTTCCAGTTGTAATTTATTGAATCAGGTACCAAAACTTGGTACTTTGTATGAATTCTTAGTGAAATTTAGCTACTATTATAAATTTAAAGATGTTATTATATGCTATTATGCAAAACAAGTAACAAAAGGAAGGAAAAAAGACTTTTGGAGCTAGGGATTTATTGTAAATATAGCTCAGTGGCACAGTTCCTATCAAGCTAAACTGAAGTCCTAGGTTCAATCCCCAGCACAGCAAAAGAGGTAGGAGAGAACATCTTGGCTAATAAAACTCTTATTTTTTCATGATTCATGCTTTGTAATAGCCAGTAGAGGGGAATCAAGCATAATTTCCAAGAGTAAATCAACACTCTCACAACAGCATAGCCTCAGAGTTCTTCAAGAAATACCACACTTGTGCTTGCTTCGGCAGCACATACACTAAAACTGGAATGATAGAGAGAAGATTAGCATGGCTTCTGAGCAAGGATGACATGCAAATTCAGATAAGATGATGATAACGGAAATGAACCCCAAGACAGGGACAAGTGGTTTTATCCTTCTTGCTGTTGTTTTTAATGTATTTATAATGTACCATATGATTTTTTTCTTTCATATGTTCTTCCCCATTGGTATAACCTGTTTTCACTCTATTTGTTTCCAGTGTCCTACATCTTGTATATACATTTTTCTAATTTGGGGAGGGAAAAGGAAATAACAAAATGCTGAAACAAGGATACAGGTTGACCCATTGTAACAATGGGATGTACAAGACACTATGTGGAAAACGAACTTTACAACTGGGGGGGGTGGGGGGGGAGGTGGGGAGAGAAGGGATGGTAGGAGAAAGACAAAGGACGAGGTAACAATGCTCGATAGGAAATGTACTCATTACCCTACTCATGTAACTGTAACCCCTGTGTACAGTATTTTTACAAAAATAAATACATATATAATATATATATATATATATATATATATATATAAAACCACACTTTGAGACAAGCCTTCTCTTCAATAATCCAAGATGCTCATATAGTAGTAGGTACTGGCTTCTTTTGGAAAATTCTAAAGAAGTTCCTCCTAGCTGAGATGGGAAACAGTGAAAGACTGTTTTGCTCATTGTCTTAACAGACAATGGAGTCAGTTTGAATATGGTCAGAGAACTTCCCAGTAATTTCAGAAAGTATCCCACACCATCCTCAACAGATGGTTTGACCGAAGAGTAAAAGCCTTTTCTCTTTTCTGAAAATCCATTAGTAAGGAACAGATGCAAGTGAGGAGATGACCCATATATGACAGAATGTGCCATTTTGAGAATTCCCATTTTATAAAAACGGAACACAGAGGAATGAAGGGTCTTAAAAATGTCTCTTGGATCAATCCTAAAAAGGAAGCAATACATAAAACAACAGAAAACTGGAAGCCCTCTAAAAATTGAGCCACAAGGGAATGACTCAATTCTGGCAGTGGAGTATTTGTAAGCAAAGTTTGTACAAATACCATATAATACCATATTTTAAAATTTGATCTAAAACTACATTTATCCCTATAAAGTACACTTCATTTATTGGTCTATTTTTCTCCTGTGATTTTCTCATGTGAATAAAATATCTTTTCTTTTTTTTTTTAACTTTTCTGATTCAAAAGATTGTTTTCATAAGCAGGAGCACAAGCATTTACATTTTCCTCAGAATACAGAATTGCAGTTCAAAGCTTGCCTAGGGAAAATAAGAGTGGGGAAGAGTCCTTAACACTCCTGTCTACAATTAACCAGCAAAAATCAGAAAGAAGAGATGTAGCTCAAGTGACAGAATACATACATGAGTGAAAAAGCCAAGGGAGAGCTTGAGTTCCAGAGTTCAAGCTCTATGATCAGATTACGGAAGGGAGAGGAAACTGCTTTTTCTTAGATGCTAAAACTTCCTATATCCAAAAATTTAATTCAACTAATATTTACCTAATATTTTTTTTTTTATTTTATTTTATTTTATTTTTTTATTGTAAAGCTACTATACAGAGGGTTACAGTTACATGAGTGAGGTTATGAGTACACTTCCTCTTGAACATTGTTACCCCCTCCATTGTTTTCCCCCTACCATCCCCTCCCTCCCTCCCTTCCCCGAGGTTCTTTTTTTTTTTTTTTTGATTGTGATTAAATGATTACATAATTTCGAAGTCACAAGTTCATTCTAACTTCCCTGGAGCAAATTGTCTACCACAGTCTGTAATATATAACAGTGTTCACATGTTATATACCATATTTGTGATCAGCAGCATGAGGATATTTAGTAGTGGTTCAACCATTACCTAATATTTTTAATGGATACTGTGCTAAAGGTCTGGGAAGATGGCTCAGTGGTAGAGTGCTTGCCTTGCATGCATGAGGCCCTGGGTTCGATTCTCCTCAGCACCACATACATAAAAAGAAAAAGCCTAGTCTTGAACTGAAGAGCTGAGGGACAGCACCCAGACCCCGAGTTCAAGCCCCACGACCAAAAAATTAAAAAAATAAAAAAATTAAAAAAACTGTGCTAAGGGAAACATAGATAAATAGAGCTGATAGTCCTCAGGTACCTACAATCCAATAAAAAAATTTTTTTTTAACCTACTGGGTACAAGGAATTATGCAATAAATGCCCTAACAGGACACAAACAGCAATGGACAAATAGCATTATTATTTTTTTTTTTTTTTTTTGGGGTCCGGTCATGAGGCCTGAACTCTGGGCTTGGGCGCTGTCCCTCAGCTCTTCAGCTCAAGGATAGCACTCTACCACTTGATCCACAGCGCCACTCCGGCTTTTTTCTTTTTGCTTATGTGGTGCTGAGGAATCGAACCCAGGGCCTCATGCATGCAAGGCAAACACTCTACCACTGAGCCACCTTCCCAGCCCCCTATCATTTTTTTTTAAGGAGAAACTAGAAACAACTTGATGGTCAACATGACCAGCTAGAAATGGAGGTAAAGAATGTTAAGCACAGCCAGTGCCGGTGGCTCACGCCCGTAATCCTACCTACTCAGGAGGCTGAGATCTGAGGATGGCGGTTCAAAGCCAGCCCGGGCAGGAAAGTCCATGAAACTCTTATCTCCAATAAACCACTCAAAAATGGGAAGTGGCGCTGTGGCTCAAGCGGTAGAGCGCTAGCCTTGAGCTGAAGAGCGCAGGGACAGCAGCCAGGCCAGAGTTCAAGCCCCACAACCAACCAAAAAAAAAAGAATGTAAGCACAGACAATCAAATACACTTAATACAAATATACTTAATCAAATATACTTAATACTTATACTTTGATAGTATACCCATGAAATCCCAGCACTTAGTAAACTAAGGTAGGAGAATTGAGAATTCAAAGCCAACCTGAACTATATATATATGAGACTATATATATATGAGACTCATATATAGATATGAGTAAGCCACTCATATCTTTTGGAATACTTAGTTGGCAACATTTCTGAAAAGGTAGCCATAAAACAGATGAAAATTATATAAACCCTGTCTGGCATGCTCTTTCCTAAAAGAAGTCAAGGGTAAGTGAGAAAGGCCTATCCACCAGGAGCTGGTGGCTCACTTCTGTAAACCTAGCTACTCATACGGCTGAAATCTGAAGATTGCAATTCAAAGCCAGCCCAGACAGGGAAATCTCTGTGAGACTCTTATCTCCAATAAACACTCAGAAAAGGCTAGAAATGGTGCTGTGGCTCAAGTGGTAGAGTAGCTACCCTTGAACACAAAGAGGCTCAGGGATAGGCCTCTAGGACCCAGACCCTGAGTCCTGAGTTCAAGCCCCAGCACTGGGGGGGGGGGGGGGGGGGGGGGGTGGAAAGGGGAGAGGTGGGGGGTGGAAAGGGGAGAGGTGTCCAAGCTGAGATCTGCGTATACACATTACCTTTTCATCCTGGGTTGGTTTCACCTTTACTTCCTAACTGATGATCCCACACGTAAGACAAAATCTAGATGAGACTCTTCTGAATGACAGATGACTGATGTCTCCATCCACATGCCTACAGCCAATACCCACCAGAATACCTTCATACAACACCATCAAATTCAAGAGGTTAAAACAGATCTGTTTTGTTCTGAAACCTGCTTCTCCTGTATTTATTATTCTAGTTCAGGTACCATCAATTCTCATCCCCCCCAAGCCAGAATACTCCAGGGATGACTCCTAGGCCCCTACCTTACAACATTCTACCCCAAATTCTCACCCCAGTGCTTTCTCAAATCTCCACAGACATATTTCAAGCCTTCTAGTCATCTAGAACCCTACACTATAAAAAATTGTTCTCATCTCTTTGCCACTCATATCTCTTCTCTAATTTCTTAGAACTCAGATTTCCTAATCCACTTTAAAAATCCAGGAAGTGGCACTGTGGCTCAAGTGGTAGAGCGCTAGCCTTGAGCAGAAGAGCTGAGGGACAGCTCCCAGGCCCAGAGTTCAGGTCCCATGACCAGACCCAAGAAAAAAAAAAAGAAAAGCTCTAGCCTTGAACAAAAAAGCTCAGGGGACAGTGCCCAGGCCCAGAGATTAAGCAACAGGACTGACCAAAAAAAAAAAAAAACAACAACAACAACAAACCTGTTGGTGCAGGTGGCTCACACCTGTAATCCTAGCTACTCAGGAGGCTGAGATCTGAGGTTCACAGTTCAAAGCCAGCTGGGGGAAGGAAAGTCCGTTGAGACTCTTATCTCCAATAAACCACCAGAAAACAGGAAGTGGAACTGTGGCTCAAGTGGTAGAGTGCTCACCTTGGGCTGAAGAGCTCAGGGACAGCGCCCAGGCCCTATGATGGACGAGAAAAAAAAAAATCCTGCTGGTTAAACTCTTCAATTCATTAGCATGATATCTGTAACTTCAAGTCACAAAAATAAATTCAGCATTTGAAAAAAATGTACTTTCCAGGGCTGGAATGTGGCTCAGTGGTAGAGTGCTTGCCTAGCATGCATGAAGCCCTGGATTCGATTCCTCAGTACCACATAAACAGAAAAGGCCAGAAGAAGTGGTGCTGTGGTTCAAGTGGTAGAGTGCTAGCCTTGAGCAAAAGAAGCCCAAGGACAGTGCCCAGGGTCCTGAGTTCAAAGCCTCAGGATTAGAAGGGGGGGGAAAAAATCTACGTTTCATAGCCTCATTTTGTTGATACACCCTGAAGCTTGAAAAGGGAACTATGCAAATTCCTAAGTCTAAGTTCTCTTTATATAGATAAAAATATAGCAACTTTGACATTAAAGCAATTTCCTAATATTAAAATATCAACGAAGTGGTATACTGAGGATTAAAGTTGCCTTGTTCAGACACTAATAATCCATTTGTATAATGCTAGGTCAATCATCCACCCTTCTCTGTACCTCCATTTTCTCTTCAATAAAAGGAGACCATTTTCCTGAAATCCCTTTAACACTAAAATCTACAAGCTTACCAAAAGTTGCAATTTGGGTATTAAGTGGGTGCATATCATATAATGCTAACACATGAGGATATTTTTTTCGGTTGTGGGGCTTGAACTCTGGGCCTCGACACTGTCCC